TTATCGCCTCCTGCCCGGCAAGATCAAAAGCCGGGGCCCGCCAGTGGATCTGAGGAGTCTGGCGGGCCAATTAAACACAACAAAATCTCCTCGTTTGATGCTTCCAGCCACCCTGTTCTGTGATAACCAGAGTCTTTCTTTTTCCGCCTTCATCGACTCAGGCTGTGAGTGTAATTTAATAGACTCTAACCTCGTCCAGCAACTTCACATAAGGACCATTCCCCTCTCCCAGCCTCTCAGTGTTTCAGCCATCGACGGAAAAAGACTCCACCGTGTAACCCATCAAACCCAGCCCCTCGAGCTACTTCTATCAGGTAACCACCGAGAGACAATAACCTTCTTTGTTTTTCCCTCTGCATGTTCCCCATTGGTCCTCGGGTTTGAGTGGTTGGAGAAGCATAATCCTCACATTAACTGGACTAAACGTCTCCTGGAATCATGGTCCACTACGTGCCACGAAACATGCCTTCGTTCAGCTGCCCCTATGGTGGGGTCTCCTAGTGGTGGGGGGGAGATGGACTCTCCTGACCTTTCTTCAGTTCCCTCTGAGTATCACGACTTAGCCCCTGTCTTCAGTAAGGTCAGTGCTACGTCCCTATCTCCACACAGACCATATGATTGCGCCATTGAGCTTTTACCTGGCGCTCCTCTTCCTAGCAGCAGACTGTATAACATTTCCAAGCCTGAAAGAGAAACTATGGAGAAATACATCAATGAATCATTAGCTGCTGGAATTATTCGCCCTTCTTCCTCTCCGCTGGGTGCAGGGTTCTTCTTCGTGGGCAAGAAGGATGGTTCCCTGAGGCCATGCATTGATTATCGGGGTTTAAACCAGATCACAATTAAAAATAAATACCCTCTGCCTCTTCTTGCTTCTGCTTTTGAACCTGTGCAGGGAGCTACAGTGTTTACTAAGTTGGACTTAAGAAACGCTTATCATCTTCTGAGGATACGAGAGGGCGATGAATGGAAGACTGCCTTTAAGACTCCTTTGGGTCAATTCGAATATCTGGTAATGCCCTTTGGTTTAACCAATGCACCTGCCTGTTTTCAGGCCCTAGTAAATGATGTTCTCAGAGATTTCCTCAACGTGTTTGTTTTTGTGTACATTGATGACATTCTCATTTATTCCAAGGACCTCAATGAACACAAGAGACATGTTCGCCTTGTCTTACAGAGACTACTGGAGAATAAGCTGTTCGTGAAAGCCGAGAAGTGCGAATTCCATCAACCGTCAGTCACCTTTTTGGGGTTTGTGCTCGAGGGCGGTCAGGTAAAACCTTCTGAGGATAAGATCAAAGCTGTTTTAGACTGGCCAGTCCCTGAGAACCGAAAACAGCTACAGAGGTTTCTAGGATTCGCTAACTTCTATCGACGTTTCATAAGAAACTACAGTCAAACCGCCCTTCCATTAACCTCTCTCACCTCCATCAAACGAACTTTTCAGTGGACCCCTGAGGCTCAAGCAGCATTTGAAAAACTAAAATCATTGTAGGAGCTATTTCTCTATTTTTGTTTAAGAACTTAAATTATTTAGTTAGTTTGTATTTATTTAGTTATTTGTTGCATTTTTGTTTGAAAGTAGTTGCTTAGAATACAATTATTTCTTAGTAAATTGTTTAATTAGTTAATTGATTTTGTCTGGGTGTCTGGTATATAGATACATGGACTCCAGGTAGCTCAGGTGAAAAGTGGGTGGGCTTATGGTTTTTTACCAGTCTTCCAGTCTTCTAGCTGCAGTCTACCAGGCCTTTCAGAAGGCAAGTCACTCAGCCTTAATCAGTGAGCACAAAGGCAGAAACCAGGCCAGGAGATGTGGCAAGTAGTCTTTTTGAGTTTTTGAATCATGTTTATTTTTCCTGAAGAAACCTGGAATAAACTCACTGAACTGCATTTTTCACGTATTTTGAGAATTTTTTGTACTGCGTAAAACCAGAAACCCACTATTCCTCAAGTGACTATTTGATTTACATTTATTTTTTGCTTTTTCATTTTTAAGTTTTTTCATAGACATCTAGTCACTACATCAAGTAAAAAACCAGCCCTTGGACCTTTGTTTTCAACGATCTCAAATCTGCTGATGAGTGGATAGTGAAGCCATGGATTCAACTTCTTTGTTCTTGGATGGTGTCACCTGGGGGAAGTGCCACGCCCACAAGCCATGAGGTGCCTCACTTACAAGCCACAAACACTCATGTCCCTCTTCAATGAGAAGGGTATGTACAAAGATTGCTAATGCTGTAAAGGAAAACGGCCAGACGATTGGAGTTTGATGATAGCAATCAATGTTAAAGCACAAGTTTGTCAACATGAAGATGAGTTAAGGATTGAATTAAAGCATTCGCATTCCTAAACAAAGCAAGTGGATTTGAAATATAAATGGAACAAAGGCAACAACAAAGTTACACGCAGTTTAAAGTTTGTGCACAAAATGTCTGATGTAACAAAACCACAGATGGCCAAGAGTGACTCAGAGGTTTCATCCAAAAGAAGCATTAAATACACTGAGAAAGGCTTGATGTCATATATAAAAACATGCCAAGATAAAAGAAGTGCTAAATTGAAACAGGCAAGACGGATAAAAGATGATTTAAATGTTTTGATGGAATCAAAGGATAAGGCTGACTCAGTAAAGTCTCTTTTGGCTGCATTTATGCAATGTTGTGAGGATGCAGAGGTGTCGCATAAACAATTAACAAGTATGCCACTCCCCTCTGATGAACTCAAGAGACAAAATGAACATTTTCTAAGTATAATGAGTACCTACCAGGAGTTTACTGAATGTGTAAAGGGTTGGTTATATGAACTGGGTACGCCATTTGTGATACCAAATGCAGATACTGATGATCAAGTCAAAAATAACACTGAAGATGTAATTAACCCTGAAGACAGTGTTTCCAATGTGTGCTCTGTAAAGTCCAATCCATGTTCTCAAGTGTCCCGTGTATCTTCCATTAAATCTGCACACATAAGAGCAGAGGCAGAAAGAGCAGCGCTGTTGGAGCGTGCTGCAACTCTCAAAAGGAAGCATCAGCTTGAAGCTATGGAGGAAAAGTTAAAACAAGAAAGGGAGCAATTTGAACTTGAGACAGAGCTAGCAGCTGCTAATGCAAAGCTGCGCGTATTTGAAATAAATTCACAAGGTGGCTCGAAATGTTCTGATGGCATGAACTCGTACATTAAAAAAGGTATTTGTAAGTCAGGGCCAAAACTTAATGCAAGTGCCAACATAGTCGTTCCCGAGGACAAGGATTATGTTATGTCCTCTGCCATCTCTGAGCATCCAGTTGTTCGACTGAAACATAAGTCAGCAATTCAAGGCACTGATGAGCCACAAAGTGTCCATGCTCAACTAAATGTTCAAAGTCCAGACACAACTGTACAGCCACAATTGGATCATCAAACCAGTATAATTAACATCATGCAAAGGCAAAATGACATCACTGCCATGTTGGTTCAGCAGAGTCAGAGCTCTGTTTTGCCACCAAGAAACATCCCAGTGTCCTGCACATTGACAAGGAAAGTACAAAAGCTTTCTCCAGATGTCCACAGATTCCTCTGAGAACCACGTCCACCATGACTCAAACCTGTAGTCATATTAAGGTCTGTGATGAAGATAATTCAATTCTCTCTATTGTTGCAGTTCAAGTTAGGAGTCCAACAACCAACTCAACCGTGCAGACATATGCATTTCTGGACCCGGGCAGCACAGCGACATTCTGCACAGAGAGTCTAGCCAGAAAGCTGCAACTGAAAGGCAAAAGAACAAGCATTCAGCTGCAAACGATGGGTCATAAAGACATTGTGAGTACAAACATCATTTCTGGACTTCAAGTAGCAGCGTTTGATAAAAATGATTTCATTGAACTTCCAGATGTCATGACACAAAAACTAATGCCTGTTTCAAAGCGAAATGTTCCAAAACAGGAGGACATTAACCAGTGGCCATACCTGCAAAGTATCAAGCTCCACAACATAGATGCTGATGTAGATTTGCTCATTGGCACAAACGCACCTAAAGTAATGGAGCCGTGGGAGCTGATAAACAGCCAGGATGATGGCCCATATGCAGTTTGGACGCGAGTTGGTTGGGTCATCAATGGACCACTTAGGAGTGAAAGGAAAAAGACAGACTTTCATGCTTTCACCGCAAACAGGATTTCTGTTCAAAATCTGGAAACAATGTTGATTGAACAATATAATCATGATTTCAATGAAAAATCTTCCCAAGAACAGATTGAAAATTCCAGAGAAGATAGCAAGTTTATGGATATCATGAACAATACAGCACATTTAATCAATGGACATTATTGTATTGATTTGCCTTTTAAGGCTGAAAATCCTACCTTGCCAGTGAACCGCTGTATTGCAGAGCAACGTCTTCAAAGCCTGAAAAAGAAGTTTGATAAAAGCCTCACCTTCAAGAAAGATTACATTGCTTTTATGGATGACATGATATGTAACAGATATGCTGAAGTTGTTCCTGATGACCACTTGGTGGGCAGTGAGGGAAAAGTGTGGTATATACCCCACCATGGTGTTTATCACCCCAGAAAAGGCAAACTAAGAGTTGTTTTTGATTGTGCTGCAACATTCAAGGGGACCTCACTGAATTGCCAGCTATTACAAGGACCTGATTTGACCAACTCAATTGTGGGAGTTCTTGTGCGCTTCAGACAAGAGCCTATTGCCATTATGGCAGATATTCAAGCCATGTTTCACCAGGTCCATGTTCCAGAGAAACATAGAAACTTTCTTCGCTTCCTTTGGTGGCCCAATGGTGACACATCCCAAGTTCCACAAGAATATCGAATGACAGTGCATCTGTTTGGAGCAGTTTCCTCGCCGAGCTGTGCAAATTTTGCATTAAGAAAAACAGCAGAAGACAATGCCCAGCAATTTCCAGCTGAAGTGGTCAGTACTATAAAGCATAATTTCTATGTGGATGATTGCTTGAAATCTTTGCCTACAGAAAAAGAAGCAATAAAATTTGCCCAAGATTTGACAGCTCTTTGCAATAAAGGAGGATTTAAGCTCTCCAAGTGGATCAGTAATAATCATGCAGTGTTGCAAACATTTCCAGACAACATCAAAGCAAAGGAAATACTGGAACTAGATTTGGAGCTTCCAATTGAACGGGCACTTGGCTTACAGTGGTGCACTCAAGGTGATGTCTTTAAATTTAAAGGTTCATTTCCAGAGCGGCTGCACACGAGAAGGGGAATACTGTCAGTAGTAAGCTCATTGTATGATCCCCTGGGTTTTCTCGCTCCCTTCATCATCACCGCCAAAATGATACTACAGGAGCTCTGCAGGAGAAACCTGAGTTGGGACGATGCTGTTCCTAATCATTTCTCCAAACAGTGGACCGACTGGATGGATGATCTGAAGAGGATCTCAAAGTTTGAAGTGGACCGCTGCATTAAGCCTAAATACTTTTGTCCTGTTACTGCACAGCTTCACCACTTCTCTGATGCCAGCCAAGTGGGATATGGTACAGTGTCATATCTAAGATTAAAAAATGAGCATCATGTACACCTAGCATTCCTCCTGGGAAAGGCAAGAGTTGCTCCTCTTAAGCAGACAACCATTCCTCGTTTGGAGCTGACTGCAGCCGTCCTCGCTGTTCGAATGGACCAACTACTACACAGAGAGTTGCATCTTGAGCTTGAGACATCCGTTTTCTGGACTGACAGTACCACTGTCTTAAAGTACATCTGCAGTGAAGCAAAGAGGTTTCATACCTTTGTTGCTAACAGAGTGTCCATCATCAGAGATGCTACGCAAACTGATCAATGGAGATATGTGAGTTCTAAAGATAATCCAGCAGATGAAGCATCAAGAGGGATGAAAGCGGAAAACCTTATGGAGCAGAGTAAATGGATTAATGGTCCCGAGTTCCTGTTCGAGTCTGAAGATAAATGGCCTAAATTGGAGGTAAAGTATGACTCACTTCCTGCTGACGATTCTGAAATAAAAAAGAATGTGACTGTCAACACTGTTATTGAGAAGATTAAATGCCCTACCAGTTTTTTCATCTCCTACTTCTCATCTTGGACAAAGCTAAAGACATCTGTAGCTTGGGTTTTAAAGCTCAAAGAACTCCTTATTTTGCTGTCTCAGAAAAGACAAGAGTTTTCTGCTATGTTACAGCAGTCTGCAGAAGATGGAAACACCAAGAAGAAAAGGGTGTCCCAAAAGATGCAACAGTTTAAAGCTATGCTGAAGAAACAGTGTTTGACATCTGAAGATCTGGCTAAAGCAGAGCGTTGCATTATTCAGTTTGAGCAACATCTCAAGTTTGGTCCAGAAATCATCTTGATCAAAGCCAAAAGGATCGTTTCTAAAGACAGCCAGTTGTACAGACTTGATCCAGTGTTGGACGATGGAGTCCTCAGGGTGGGTGGACGTCTTAAAAGAGCGGCTATGCCATTTGAAACGAAACATCCTGTCATCCTGTCCAAAGACATGCATGTGGCAACCTTAATTCTGCTCTACATTCACCATCTGCTTGGTCATGCAGGAAGAAACCACATGCTGTCCAGGCTGCGTCAGAGATATTGGATAATCAATGGAAACTCTGCTGCCAGAAAAATCTTGTCTGATTGTGTGACCTGTAGAAAAAATAGAGGAAAGCTTTTGGAACAAAAAATGGCTGACTTACCCCAGGAAAGGGTTGCACCTGACAAAGCTCCGTTTACAGATGTGGGAGTTGATTATTTTGGCCCCATTGATGTTAAGAGAGGCAGAAGTCTGCTCAAACGTTATGGAGTAATATTTACATGCCCAACAAGTCGTGCTGTTCATTTGGAGGTGGCTCACACCCTTGATGCAGATTCTTGTATCAATGCTATCAGAAGATTCATCTGTAGACGTGGTCCTGTCTCTTCCATCAGGTCAGACAACGGCACGAATTTTGTGGGAGCCAACAGAGAACTAAGAAAAAATCTGACTGCCTTGAACCAGAGCAAGATCCAAAGAGTTCTGGTCCAAGATGGCATAAACTGGCACTTTAATACACCGGCAGCTTCACATCAAGGTGGTGTCTGGGAGCGTTTGATTCGTTCTATCAGAAGTGTACTCACCTCAGTTCTAAAACAGCAGGTTGTGGATGATGAGACTTTGCAAACCGTTTTCTGTGAGGCTGAAGCCATTCTGAATGATAGACCCATCACACTGGTCTCTGACGATTCGGATGATTTAGAAGCCCTTACACCAAATCACATCCTGACCCTAAAGAACAAACCTGTTATGCCACCTGGGCTGTTTCAAAAGCAAGATCTGTACCTCCGACGACGATGGAAACAAGTACAGTATATGGCCGAACTGTTTTGGAAAAGATGGATCTCTGAGTATTTGCCTTTGATGCAGGAAAGACAAAAATGGATGAGACCGAGAAGAAACATCACTGTTGGAGATATTGTCCTGATTGCAGATGCGACAGCACCCAGAGGATGTTGGCAGATGGGGAGAGTCCTGGCTGTCAACGCTGATGCACGAGGACTGGTTCGTTCAGTGCAACTTCGGACCAAAACCAGTGTGCTGGAGAGACCAGTGACGAAGCTCTGCTTGCTTTTAGAAGCATCTGAGGACTAAGGACATTTATTCTCTCTTTTTCTTTCTCTCTTTCTTTCTCTCTTTTATCCAATCTCTTTGCAGGTTAATAATGAAAAAGAATGAAGAACCCAGAAGATTTGCTTTGTATTGAAATTGTTGTTAGAATAGCTCCTTTTAGTTAAAGAAGTAATTGTGATGTAATGCACAATTGGGGGCCGGAGTGTAGGAGCTATTTCTCTATTTTTGTTTAAGAACTTAAATTATTTAGTTAGTTTGTATTTATTTAGTTATTTGTTGCATTTTTGTTTGAAAGTAGTTGCTTAGAATACAATTATTTCTTAGTAAATTGTTTAATTAGTTAATTGATTTTGTCTGGGTGTCTGGTATATAGATACATGGACTCCAGGTAGCTCAGGTGAAAAGTGGGTGGGCTTATGGTTTTTTACCAGTCTTCCAGTCTTCTAGCTGCAGTCTACCAGGCCTTTCAGAAGGCAAGTCACTCAGCCTTAATCAGTGAGCACAAAGGCAGAAACCAGGCCAGGAGATGTGGCAAGTAGTCTTTTTGAGTTTTTGAATCATGTTTATTTTTCCTGAAGAAACCTGGAATAAACTCACTGAACTGCATTTTTCACGTATTTTGAGAATTTTTTGTACTGCGTAAAACCAGAAACCCACTATTCCTCAAGTGACTATTTGATTTACATTTATTTTTTGCTTTTTCATTTTTAAGTTTTTTCATAGACAACTAGTCACTACAATCATTGTTTTCCAGAGCTCCTGTTCTCATCCAACCTGATCCAGCAAAACAGTTCATCCTAGAGGTGGATGCTTCTGACTCCGGAGTTGGAGCAGTTCTCTCCCAGAGGCTCGATTCTGATCAAAAGATACACCCCTGTGCTTTCTTCTCCCGTAGGCTTTCCTCAGCTGAACAGAATTATGACGTGGGCGACCGTGAGCTCCTGGCTATTAAGCTGGCGTTGGAGGAATGGAGGCATTGGCTGGAGGGAGCTGAGCATCCAGTTCTTGTGTGGACAGACCACAAGAATCTGGCTCACATCCAGTCAACTAAACAGGCAAATCCTCGCCAATCCAGGTGGTCAATCTTCTTCTCACGTTTCAACCTTATCATTTCCTACAGACCCTGATCCAAGAACGTGAAGCCCGATTCTCTCTCTCGTCTCTACTCTGTGGATCATCCTGAGACACCTGAACCCATCCTCCCAGCTTCATGTACCATTGGAGTGGTCAACTGGGAGATATCGGACCTCATCAACTCGGCCCTAGCCACTTGTAAACCAAACCCTGCCAGCAGTTCATAACAGCTCTGTCTCTCACGCAGACTCCAGTGAAACCAGGACCCAGGCCCGAACCAGATCCCAGTTCATATTGTGTTGTGCTTAATAAACTGTTGAACTTTTATCCTCGTGTCCGCCTTGTGGTGTTCTGCATAACTGGGTCTCCATTTGAAAACCCATCATGACAGACTGCCCAGTTCAAAGGGATGGACCCGTTCGTCCGGTTCAACTTGCATGTTTAAATGCGATATTGCTTCCAGCCATGTTTACACTCACATAATAGGAACATCCAGGAAGATGCAGACCGCAGAAACAGCTGATCAGTCATTTGAAGTAAAAGTTTGCCATATCAGAGCTGATTTAAAAAGTGTTTCCGTCTCCCATTTTCTGCGTTAAACCTTTTTTGCAAAAGCCTAAAACCACCTCAAGCAAGCGTAAGAACTTTTTCCTTATTTTGATGTTTCCTTCAAGGTTTTTTGATATGATACATCAACACGTGCATTAGAAAAACTGAAGTGCACCTATTTACAGGTTAAAATGAGTAAGCTCGCTTATTATCTACACAGTGATTCTTCGCCATGTGTCGTATCTCTAAGACATGCTATAAACTGTTACAGACGCCTTGTAATAATTTCGTCATGAAGGTCAGGAGTTTGGTGGAAAAGAGAATCCTAATGATGAAGGCAGTAGGTCCCAATGTCTTGGTTTATGAACTTTAATCTAGATTAAAACAGTCTAGTCATGCCAAGATAAAAAAGGTTAAAACGTAACATGTCTCTTTCCATAATTAATTTTTTTGCCTGAAGCTCTGACCCATATTTAAATAATAATAAAAAAAAAATATTTTTTCCCCTTATGCCACTAATACATTTCAAACCTAACTTGACATAAACCGAGAACTACTTTTACGATGACGATACATACTGTGTGGTTGGCTAACCATATATTGGCTCATTGTTATAAATTAGCAACATTATAAATATGTGGTTGACTCATTATCAGAACTCAGCGAGTTATAATAATCCTCAGAAGTCAAAATTTGACACTTCTGAGTCATAAATTTCAACATAAACCACCCCTAAAATCTGAAATGCAAGACTGAAAGTCGCTGCAACAGGATGGTATTCGACTTCTTATTTTCTTTCAATTTTTTTTTTATAGCAGTTAATTCTTATGTATGTAGCTTTAAGTCAGTTCTTAAAGCAATACTTGTGTTTAGTAGATATTTTTTTCCATACTGAGTATATTGGCGGATTTCTGTATAGAACTGGGTGTTTGTCACTGTAATGGTAATAACAGTCGCTGTAGCAGCCATGGAGAATATAAGATTACCTAAGTCCAACTTCCTCAATTTAAGTTCCAATATTTAAAGGGACGGACCATACACTTTCTAATTCCTCTGGTAGGGGGTTTCATCAATCCAACTTTGCATTTTCTATGAAAATCTCCCGATTTTCTTCTGATAACTCTTTCAAAATTTTCTTTTCCCAGTATATATCTATACACCTTAAAGCTTTTTAAAATTCAATATTCAGACATATAGTGTATAGCCTGTTTATTGTTAATGACATTAGACATCTATAGAGATATATTTATCTCTTAAAGCAAGTCCATAGATGAGGTATTAGCCTTTTTGCAGATACAAAAAAAAAAAACTGTAGTTGAATGCTTTAGAAAATTATTAAACAATGAACAGGCCTCAATTTAGCCCAAAATGCTTATCTAGGGAACAGATGTCCATGAGCTCAAACATGGAAACCGATATTTAAACACAATTAGACATAAAGATTCATAGAGGATGGCTTTAGAGGCTCCTGGTGTCTGCTCAGCTCGTCAGCTAGTCCATGTGATGATGGGTTTTTCCCGAAGGAAGGAAGTTTGACCTGCTGTTCGGCTTCCTGGACCTATTTGATGTCTCTCAGTTGGTGGGAGCATCAGATACATAGATATGCACAAACTACTCAAAATTGAATCTAAACAGTCTACATATCCTTTGCAACATTATTCTGAGCCTATTTTATCTCTCGTTCTTGGCTGCTTCTCAGCATGCCACCGTACAAGTTTCCTCTCACTAAAACGAGGATGAGTGGTTTTGTCACATTGTAAAGTCATCAGAGGGTGGGCGACGCAGCGGGACTTGTCTGCAGGCTTCCATGTCTTGCTTGTTATGAGCCTAACAGTCGCATTCAACCCACTCACCCACTGGACGAAGAGGTATGGAGGAGCACGGGGGAAAGGAAAATCAGGAAGGTGGAGAAAATGAATGTACAGACTAAAATTTAAGAGGGCTGCTTGTATTAGAAAAGCTGGTTTGCATAAGGAGCAGCTATGGCTCCCATATGAGTGATAGATGGCTTTAGAGTGACAAACTCCTTGTAAACAAATACATATGGTCTCTAAGAAAGATAATAGCTATTTAAAAGCAGTTTACTAACTTGCATCCACATCAAAGTGCCTGAAGTGGCAGAAAAGTGCTTAGCAATACTTTCACCCGATGAAAAATCCCCCATGTTTCCAGCTAATGAGCCAACTGTAAAAGATGCAAAGCGATCTTGTTTTATATTATTCCTTTGCACCAAGTTGAATTGACCATTCAAAACTTTTGCACGCAAGCATGTGTGTAACAATGGCTTTTATTATGGGTGGGGAACATGTTTTGAGTTTTCAGCGTATTCAATAGTGGTTATTGTGGTGATGTTAACTAGTGAACAGCACCTCGCTGCTGTTTAAACAATACTGGGCATCATTCAAGGAAGCCGCAACTGATACAGTGGTGTTTAATATACGAAGCTGGTGTGGAAGTCAAACATAAAAGCAGAGAAACAATCGTGAAAATACTCTTAATATAACATAACTCTGTATTAACTTCTTTACATAGTTCATGGAGCATTTTTCAAATCTTTTAGTCTTCTTAGATTGACAAATTTCAGACTATTTTATTTTAACAAATCCACTCGTCTATGTGCTTTTACTCCAGTGAAACTATTAGCTCTATACCCTCTTTTTAGTAAAGTAGTTATTGAACATAATAATGGATAAAGCATCTGAAATGGTGTTAAAGATTCTCATATTTTAACCCAAGCTAAGGAAATTGCTGAATAGATTTAAAGTGAAGTAAATGACAGTTTTAGATGGCAAGTGTCGATACTGCAACACCCTTGACAAGCCTTGATTAAAAGAACAGCCTATTATCTTTGCATGCCTTGTTAAATATGACTAAGGTAGGAAGGAGGACCCTATAAAGAGTCTTCTGCTCATGGCTAAGGATGTTCTGGATGCCAGCAAGTGCACGACTAAAATTGTTTCTCAGTCAGCAGAACCGAGGAAGTTTTTGGGGGCTTTTTCTATTGAGATTCTTGCCCTGTTGTTTGAACATGATGTGGTTCAGATTAGTTAAAGCTGGATGTCCATGAATTATTCCAAAGCTGTGTTTTTAATGCATTTATGTGAAACCTTAATACTATTTAAAGTGGATTTTTTTCCCTCTGTCCGGATGTTCTTCCTTCTGTCAGTAGGGGGCAGTGTGGTTTCACGCCTTACTCTCCGAAGCAACTCTCAGAAATAGAGCTTTCTTTGAAAGTTTCTTTCAGAGCACAACCCTTCTGTTTATACCAGATTGTCAGAATCAGGCGACTACTCTTGATGATGCAACTAGAAAAAAATTCATAAACCTAGAAAATATCTCTAATAAATGTTGATTTGAGAAAGCCGATGTTTGGCTAATGCAGACGGCAATGATTTGGAGCGTTTATGTCTACATGTCAGAGACTTATGCTGTATCAGTGAAGTGCTTGCATGTTGTCCCTCTGCAGGCC